ATGCTTTGCTACTTTCACGTCCGCAAAGCCATCAGGAAGCACGTATGTATCATTTAATATCCATGTATTTATGGTCAGAGACACATTCTGCGAACAGCCGGCACATATTTCACCGCATGGCTCGCCTGGATAATGCTGTACAGTAGGTTTTATGTTAATCATATTACAAGCACACAGATTCCAACAAGATCTACAGCTTCTGCACCGGACCGATCCCCGATTTCTCCCCTATCTTACGGCTCGCTGGTTGTACATCACCCGAAAATGGGCCATACACGCACGGTCCGGAATGGTTCATTTCGGTAATTTGACCAACAACCGACTGGAGAATGCGAACGGGCGCCTTAAAGATCGGGTGCACCACTCCGACACGTTGGGGCATGCCATTCAAAAGGCGTCCCGGCACGCCGAGTGGCTCATGCGGGTGTTTGGGATGCATACGTAGTACCATTGCGACGGGCGGTAAAACCTGGAGGGTGACGCCTACGATCTAAACGTAGTCTGTCGAATGACGACATACGCATGCTCTCTCGTTTTGATGCACTTGGGTCCGCGACAGCCGCGGCTGTCGTATGAAAGCGTCGGAACAAACAAGGTGAGGTCGAGCTACGTAAACTAACTTATAGTTTGTGGTGCAAACACCCAGATGCTCCCAGACTGTCGACAACTATGCTGGAGAATGCACATGCCCTTTCTATCAGTCGATGTGGCTCCCCTGCGTACACATGTTCTCTGTATTTTGAGATCAGTCCGCTCCGAGCAGTAAGAACTATTCATCATCGACTTTTGGGGTAAGTATCTCTACCTGTTTGTCGGCCGCCCGCCTTATGGTGATATTTCGATAACCTGAATTATATCTTCCTCTCATTTCAGGACTTCAACGGCCAAATGAATGCTCCTTACGAAGAAGAAAATGCGCCTCACAGAAGGTCATATGTAAACTTCAAAACGACCAATATATCTCAAAATTTCTCTGTTACCGATTGATGGATTAGTTAGGCATCGTGTACCCCTAGCCGCATGTCAGTGGTGTGCGTCAGTCAAGATCGTTCAGCAATCTGGTATTATCGACGTAGACTCTATGTGGCTAGTTAGTTAGGCATCGCGTACCCCTAGCCGCATGTTGGTGTCGTGCGTCAGTTAAGATCGTCCGGCTGTCTGGTATTATCGACGTAGGCTCTATGTGGCTAGTTAGGCATTGCGTACCCCTAGCCGCATGTTAGTGGTGTGCGTCGGTTAAGATCGATGAACCTGGAGGACTATCTAGCATAATGATGAACCTATAATGAAAAACTCTGTAATTTGCCAGTCAACGTGCACGATGTTTAACAAATAATTAGCGTGCACTACGAAATTTTTACCGGCAACAAAAAATCGTCGAACAAAATTTGTTTGCACGAATGCAGCTACGCATATGTTGCGTCTCCAAAAGCCATTTAGATTCTAGAATGTTGAGGAAATCTGTCCCGGTGAAAAAATACCTAAAAGTTACGTTCATTGTATGTGAGTCAATCTTTTCCACAATTCGCGATTTTTTATCATCAGGCAACGTATTCAAAGTCGGTGGTGTTTATTCACTTGGAGATTTAGTTCACTTAAACAAATCGCCATAGTAAATGATTTTTAATAATACAGGAGCATATACATTATATATAGACATTCTACACTATGAAGTGGCAAGTCTGAAAATGCCGTAGATTTCGAGAAATCAATCTCATTGTGCGAATAGCCAGCGGCGCGAAAGTGGAGATGGAGATGGCATAATTCAAATTGGGAGCACATAGCGAGTTTTGTCTTAAAAATGTGGTTTAATCTGAAACTAAGCGGACTCACTGGTTGCACCGTTGTGGAGAACCCAGGTGCAGGGGATGGGTTGGATGGGGACAAGGCGCTAACACACGGGGCGACCCATCCACTGCATACGGATTTGAACTTGTGGAACAGGCAAGCCGAAATTGTAGTAGAAAAACCAGGCTAGCCAAATTTGAGCGAAAATTCATCGAGTACGAAAGAGCTCACTCCAGAGACGGGGCCGGATGAAACGTTTGCCCGTAGTTTCGACTACGGGCCTGAGTAGGCGAGGGGTTGCGGTCGATATTCTGAAGAAAATATTTGCGGGAGTGCCACCTCACTTGGTATGACAGTACCGTGCCATCATTGCACTGACACGCTTCGGTTTATGGACAGCCCCGTAGCGGTCGTCAAGGGTTCCGCGATCGGAGAAGGGATACGCAGTGCCGTGGCAACTGGTTTTGAGTGGGACGGGGATTAGTAAAGAGAGTCAGGCGAATGCAGGCTCATGGATGCCCTTACTTTCGTTGAAGGACCGTGCGAGTGTAGACAGGGGACAGGTCAGTTTGAATGAATAACAATTCTACGGGGCGTTGGGCAGCTGCAATCGAGGTTTGAAGCTTGGGAAGCGGGCAACGAGAAAGGAATGGAATGAAACAGTAGCGTGTGGCGAGTGTCAGGAGGCATAAGATACAATGGTGTCAATAGAAAATAAAGCTGAAAGGGGATGACAGCAAGCTAAATGGCCCCAGAAAAAGGGGATACGTTCGCTAATCTGGAAACCAGGTACTAGTTGGGCATTAGCGGGTGCCTGGTTTTAGGAAGATGAGAACTTTGTCGTCGAGGTGGCTAGCGGGGAGGCTAGCTGTTGGACTAGTTGAGAACGGGCGGTAGTTTTTGGCTCAGCAAAGCATCATGACATAGGGTCCTTGTTGTGCGGAAAGAGGGGTTAATGTAGGAAGTGACAGTAGAAAAGTAAAACGCGGACGAACAACAGCTCCCCAGATAATTGATAAAATCGTAGCTTGACTGAGATTTGCTACGTCAACCTAACAGGAAAGTAAGGTTAAAGATCACCAGCTGCCGAGTCCCTACAGTCAACTCCAGAAAACGAATGGTGCACGGTAAAAAACCGCCATTAAGTACTAGCTGTGATCACTTGTAATCGGGAAATGATAAGCTGTTAGCATTTTGCGCACACGATCCCTCTAGATGACAAGAAGGAAGAACGTGCGTGCTACGTTCAGATGATGAAGTGGACTTGGAGTGGTGTGACCCAACTCAGATGAAAGTGGCATCTCCTTGCACGTCGGCGTTAGTTGTGAGCCTCACAAAGTACTCTCAGACTACCCTATGCATAAACGTTTTTATTTAATTATTTTTTTAGAAGAGACGGAAGGACAGCTGTCATTCGCTTGTATTTCTTGTTGTTGCGAGACAAGTGACAACCGGAACAAGGCCAATCCAGCTACAGACGAAGCGAAACGGTGCTCGGTGCCAGGCTCAGAAACACCGGCGATGGGTGATACACCTGAGCTACTGGAGGGGTGGCGAGTATACCAACGCACCATGGTGCAACGTAACAGGGTGACCCTCCCTGCAGGGCATACCCGTCCACCACACAAGGTTTTCATCCCTCATGCATGCTACCAGATCTGCAGGGTAACAAGACACCCAGCATTCATAATTGCGGTTTGTGCATTATTAAATAACTCGAGCTACCAGATGTTTTATCCGGTCTGGGGAAAGCCAGGCCAGTAAAACAGCTCAGTCATTTTGAACAAGCAAACAGCAAACAGCCACTGAAAGAAGCTGTTGAGGAATGCACCGTGAGAAACTTGGTCGAATGCCTTGCGAATATCAAAAGACATAGGAATCATACGCAGTCCGGTATCGTAGGCGGACGAAATATGAC